GGACTCCAGGTGGCAGGACAAGCAAGAAGAGTCCCCGGGAGGACGCGCCTCAGCACCAGCCATGGAGGCCACCCCATGCATGGGCTTTTCCAGAAGTTTGAGGAAGAGGAGAAGTGGCGGCACCTCCAGAGGGACTCAGCACCTAGGGGTGTGACCTGCGCGTGGTTCTGGGCTTCCAGGAGGGGTCTGTGCAGGGGTGGGCCCAAGAGCCCAGCTGGGTGGCTGCAACCCAATGGACTTTGCGTGGGAGTGTGAGCCAGGCCTGCCCCCCAGGGGCACAGGTGACTGTCCCCGGCACCTGCAGCCAGGCAAGGCTGGGACATCGATGCTGGCCCCCTGCAGCCCTGTGCCCTCTGCCCAAGGCCCATCTGCTCCCTCATCACTGGCACATCTTCCCACTCAGGAGTGGGGGTGGGGATGGGTCATAACCCTCCTGCTGGGACCCACCCCATACATGTTGGGGGGAGCTTGGGCCTGGAGAATTGGCCCCTGCCCCCTGAAGCAGGACAGGGACCCCCCTTGGCTTTGGGGCTTGGTCAGCCGTGTGGCTCTGAGCTCTGAGACTCCTGCCTTGTTCCCCTCACGGGCGGGGGCGGGTAGGAGACTCGGTCTCTGGGAGCTTCTGGCACCAGCGGGGTTCTGGGGAGCCTCCTCCTCAGCTGGTCCTGGTGCAGGGTGCAGTGGGGACCCCTGGCCCCTCCCTCTGACCCCAGCCAGAGCCTCATTTTGGCCATTAACCTCCTCTGCCTGGCTTGCCCACGGCAGTCCGCCTGTCACCTCCATTAATGCTGGTATATGCGTGCAGGGGCGAGTGGTCAGGATAGATGCACGGCCGGGGAAGGCAGGGGGCAGTGAGCAGGGCCCCCAGCAGGCCTGTCTCACCTCCTCAGTGTCCACACGCAGCCCTCGCCAGGACAGGTACAGCGGCCGGGCAGACACCGGGAGGGGCTGGGGCCCCAGGCACATCTAGGAGCGCCTGGGAGAGGTGAGCACCGTGCAGGAGACCCCTGGGTCCAGAACATGGGTCATCCTGGGTACTTCTTCCTTCTTGTCTCTTCAAGGTGGCCTCAGGGACTCCTGGCTCGGAGGGGCTGGGCCCAGGGCTTGGGCCAGAGGAGGCTGGGTCCCACCTGAGGGTCCTGGATGCCAGCCTGAGGCTGCTGACCCCACAAGCACTGTGGGGTCACGGGAGATTCCTGGCAGGCTTGTGCGGGAAGCCGTGGAGCCAGGGATGGGCAGGGATGTGAACAGGTTTGTGGGTCCCTGCTGCAGGTCAGTGAGGGTAGGGCACATGCAGAGCCTGGGGAATTCTCAGGGAATCTGTGAGGGGGCCATCCAAACAGGCCCAGGGACGTGGGGTGGAGCAGGCCCACCCTGAGGGAGGAGGCCCAGCTGGGAAGCTCCTGGCACCGGGGGACCCCAGGAGAAGCCCTCCGGCCCCAGCTCTCCTGGGCCTGCGGATGATGACTCTGCCCACGCGAGCTTTGCTGCGCCCTCCCCCACCAGCTGCAGGCTACCCGTTTTGGAGGCCCCCGTGGCCCCTCCCGCGGCTCCATCCCTGGACATGTTAGGTCCTTGGCCACCCTGGGGTGGGGTGTGGGGTGACTCTCTGTGTGCCTCAGCCCACTCCCTGGAGGGACAGGGAAGGGCTGTGTGCCGCAGGAGTGAGCTCCCTGTCATGGGAGGCATGCGAGCCGGGGCAGGGGCCTTTCGACTCACGGAGAGAGCAGTGTGGCCAGACGGGTGGGATGAGAGGCTCAGGCCGCCTGAACCCCCACCCGCTTGCAAGCCCGCGTTGGCCGGGCAGCGCCTGGGGCCGACAGCAGCCATATGTTGGGAGAGAAGCCGTGTGCGTTGCTCCGCGGCCCCCGGGGCCTGGCCTTCCTGGGCCTGTCACACATGATTTTCCCTGCCTGAGTGGCAGGCCAGCCAACGGGCGGGGCAGGTGGGGGCTGCGGAGCCGGCTCCAGGTCTCCCCATAGCTCGCAACACCGGATTGCAGCTCTGGGGCAGAGCCAAGCGCTGGGCCTGGAGCTCAGGACCCCCAGCCTCTTGCCGGACACTCTGCCCTGTTGCAGTCACCAGCCCCCCCACCCCCCACCCCCTGGGGCCGGGTCAAGGTTGGGGGCCCTGAGAGGAGCCCTGGTTGGCTGGCGAGGAACAGCCTTCCTGCTCAGTCGTGGGCCAGCGGCCAGGGGTGCACGCGGGCTGTGTGGGCGCCCGGGGCGGGCGGGAGAGCGCCCGGAGCCTCGGCCCTGTCAGCCCAGCGCCCACAGCCGTGCGGAGGGAGGCGGGAGGCCGCGGCTAATTTGTACACTAAGTGCTTCTGACAGGGGCGCCTCACAAGTGAGAACACACCGCCGCCCGCCTGGAAAAGGCCGCGGTGGCCGAGTGGGCAGGGAGGCGGCCTGGACGAGAGGCCGGGAGAGAGGGCCGTGGGCGGCACGGGGCCAAGCCAGCCAAGCCAGCAGGCAGAGAGGGGCAGGAGGGCCCAGGACCAGGAGCCCCAGTGGCCAGAAGGCGGGAGACCTAGCAGGCTGAGGTGGGAAGCGGGGGCCCACCAGTGAGGAGGGGGACAGCCCCTGGCCTTGTGCCTGCTCCCCATTTTGGCAGCCCTGGGAGCCACGAGCCGCCAGTTAGGGCCAAGGGCTTGGCAGGTAAGTCCCTGCCCCGGCCAGGCTGGCCGGTCCCCCATCCTCTCTCCACACCACCAGCCCCCTCCCCAGGGGCCCCCTGACCCAGGCCAAGCTCCCCCCTCAGCCCCTTGCCAGCACCCTCCGTGAGCTCCCAAGTCATAACTAAGGGTCTGGTCTAGGGTCCCCCAACTCCTCCTCGGACACTGTGTGCCCTTTGGGGCCGGGGACACCTGGCCCCTCTTCCCAGCCTCCCAGCTGTGTCCCTGCTAGAGCCCCCTTCCCTGCATGCAAGGGTTCCCGGGGAGGGGGTGGGCACGCGGTCCCCTGCCCCCAGTGGAGACCCCTGCCTGGCCTGATATCACAAGGACTGTGGGAAGCCACCGTTCCCACATCTTGCTTCCTGAGCCTTCCCCGGGAGGATCGTGGGTCCAGGCTGCCAGGACGCCCCAGGGTGCCAGGGCCAGCCCTGCGCCAACTCCAGGTGGACGCACCCCAGCCCCCCCCGCCACGGGCTGAGGTGCAGTGTGGCCGGCGCAGGGCACCCGTGAGATGTGCTGTGGCAGCTATCCTGCTGCCCGAGGCCCGCCCGGAGCGCACACTGCTGGTACCTTTAATTGCTTTCACATTCGATGGGCTGGACTGTGACAGGCGTCTTACAGCCGCCCGAGCATGGGGATGGTGGGGACGCGGGCTGGCCGGCTGGGGCCAAGGAGGAGCGGACAGCCACCAACCAACCCAGATGGAAACTTTTCTGCCTGTGCAGCCCCCTCGCTCCATCTGCTCCCGCCTAATGACCCTGACAGATTCAGACAGCATCCCCCCCCCGCCCCGAGAGATGTCGCACAAGGAGCAACCGCGCACCTGCTGTTCTTCTGCCTGCGTGGGGACCAGTCTGCTGACCGCTGCGCAGTCTGACCCGAGCCTCTGCCCCGCCCGGACACCCAGTCCTTCAAGGGCGCACGCAAGTGGCAAGCAGGGTGCCCCTGAAGGCTCCTTGTGAGCCTGACCTGGGGTGCTGGCGAGCCACATCCCCTGAGGTGCTGCCCTCTCCCCCAACTGCCCCGGGGTCAGGCTCGGATGCCCCTCAGCACAGCCCCGGCCTGTGGAGGGGGCGTGGGAGCCCAAGGACCCTGAGAGGGGCGGCAGACAGACCAGGAGGCACCCTTACAAAACAAAATTTTTATTTGGTCCATTGGAGCCTGAGTCTGGAAACACCCACGGAGAACCATCCTACAGGGATGGGAACTGACAAGTGATAAAATAGTCTCTGTGTCAGAAGAGCTGGCTGTATATACAGGGTTAAAAATATTCACAGCTCAGAGTAAAAGGAGGGAATATAAAGGAGGCCCAAAGGGGAGTGGCGTGCTTCCCGATGTTTCTCCAGGTGTAAAAGGCCCCCCCAAGCCCCATAGGGCTGCCCATGGCCTGGGGGCTGCAGGGCACTGAGTCCAGGCGGGCCCCCAGGAAGCTGGCCTCAGATGTCTGAGGGCAGGCGCAGGACTCTGGTCTGACAGCAGCCTCAAGGGAGGACGGCCGGGTAGCCAGGTGACCGCTCAGCTCCCTGGGCTTCTGAGGTGGGGGAGGAGCTGAGACGGGCTGCTGGGCCCTACCTCTGCCTAGACAGGGAGGCCCAGGATTGCTGCCGGACCCTGCTTGTCCTGGCAGAGGTCAGGTGGTGCTGAGGACAAACCACCTCACCAAACCGCAGGGTGGGCCTGGGCCTGGCTGGACCCTGACCCACAGCCCCTGGCCTCCAGCCCCTGGGCATGGCTTCTTCGATCCTGGGACGCACTCCAGGAATTGCATAGTGTCGCCAGAGGGGCCGCTGGGACCTCCCCCATCCCCGGACCTGAGCCCACGGTCGCCAGGCACCTGCCTCCTGGGACATACTGCTGGGGCTCCAGGGACCCCTGCTTGCCTTGTGGGGGCCGGGGGCAGGGAAATGTGCTCTGGGGGCAAGCTCCTGCTCTCATGTCCCCCAAGGAGGTGGTCCCTGCTCTCATCCTGGGATCCCAGCCTCGAACCCCCACAGAGGGGGGTGGTCCCTGCTCTCATCCTGGGATCCCAGCCTCTAACCCCACAGACGGGGGTGGTCCCTGCTCACTGTGGGGTTCTAGCCTCTGATCATCACAGAGGACATGTTACTTTTCACCCTGGAGCCCCAGCCTGACCCCTACAAGGGAAAGATCCCTGCTCTCACTCTGGGGTCCTGGCCTTGACCTGCCCAGATGTGGTTCTAGGAGCAGGGCTCTTGGCTGCCTCAGCCCCCAGGGAGAGAGAAGCCTCACCTTGGCCCTGGCCGTCTGAACCCAACCTTGAGGTGGCCGGTCAGAGGGGCTGGTGTACAGGCCCCTGGTGCTAGAGGCGGGTTCGAAGTATTCTGCTTGGCAGCGGGGAGGCCCTGGGCAGGAGGGAGGGGCAGGGAGGAAGGCCTAGGGGGAGCTACTGCAGCTGGTGGCTCCCTGGGCAGGGTCCTGAGATTCTGATTCAAGCGTCCTCTGCTGGAGTCTCCCTCATAAAGTGCGCGTGGGGGCTGGGAAGGTGGAGGGGTCACAGAGGCCGGGGGCCATGCAGGCCAGCGACTTCGGGCGTGAGAGGGGGGCTGTGGGTGCCCCTGGAGGCTGTCCAGTCACTGAGGAAGGCCTGGGCAGCCTTGCGGTGCGCCAGGCGGTGGGTGATGGAGAAGCCCGCGTTGCCCTCCAGCTGGGACAGGATCACCAGGACCTGCCTGGGGGAGGGGGCCGGTGAGGGCCAGTGGAAGCGAGGTGGTGGGGGGGAGCAGGCGGGGCAGGGGCGGGGCCCACCTGTGCAGCGGGGGCACGCTGTCCTGGGTGCGCAGGCTGCCACGCGTGGACACCACGTTGAAGCTGTCAGAACAGTCACACTGCACGTGCAGGTAGGACTTGGGATGCCGGTTCTCCACCACCACGATGAGCCCCGCCCAGCCATGAGTCAGGTAGTAGCAGGTCATGCCCTCGCGCCCCTGGCCACACAGAGTGCATAAGTGGGCTGGGGCGGGGGTTCCTTCCGCGTCCCCCTTCCCCGGGACCCTGCTGGCCGGCCCACCTCGTGCCGCTCGCCCCGGCTCTCCGTGAGCAGAATGATGGCGTCGGCCAGTGTGGTTGGCTGGGCCTCCACCGGCTCCACCATGACCAGCCTTGAGCTGTACACGGCCAGCACGTGGCCGGGCGGCTGCGGGGTGCAGCGCGGGACCCCTGCCGAGGGGCTGGAGGCTGTGGGGCGGGGTGGGGGGACAGGGGGCGGGCGTGTGAGTGGGGGGCACGCACAGACCTCCGTGAGGGCGGGGTGGGGAGTGCAGGTGCGGGTGCGCGGTTACCCTGCGTGTTGGCCGGTGGGCCCGGCGCGGCGGGGCTCCAGTGGTTGAAGGCACAGCACACCACGGCGTACTCGCCGGGCTCCAACATCACGTCGCAGTTGACGAACTTCTTGACAGCGCGCTTGCTGTGGGCTAGCAGGCGGCCCAGGCTCAGGCGGCCACCGCTGCCGAAGGACGCGCGGAACACCAGGACGCACAGGTCCAGGAGGTGGCTGTCCACCGAGTCTGCGCGCCTGTGGCCGGACGCACCGCAGCGGTCAGCGGAGGTGCGGGGCCCGCACGGCCCGGCCCCCTGGAGCTCACCGCCTGCCACCTTCTGGGCTCCCACGCTGCCGCACCCCGCAGCGCAGCTCACCACCGCCCCCCCCACCAAGCTCACCGCCCGCCACCATCGGCTCCTCCCCACCCCACGGCCCCGCCCGCAGCTTACCATCCTGCCCCCCACCCTCAGCGCGGCCCCGCCCCTGCAGCTCACCGCCCCATCCCCCAGCGGCAACGCCCCCCAGCTCAACGCCCCGCCCCCATCCCCGCCCACCTGCTGCCCTCCTGGAAGAGGGCGAACTCCAGGGACGCGCGTTCCAGCACCGTGAGGGCAGTGACCCCCACGGGCCCGCTGGCAGAGCTGGGAAAGCAGCCCTGCACACGCGCCTCCTGCCAGTCCGAGTGCACCTTGCAGATGTCCACCGAGTCGAAGTACCTAGTGAGCGAGAAGGCAGCCGCACGGGGCAGCTTTCATCCCAGCTCAGGTAGAGGCACTTCCTGTGCCCTCTCCAGGCCCTGTCCCAGGCCACCCTCGGCATCTCCTGGGACCAGTGTCTGGGAAGCCCTGGTCCCGGCTGTTGCCCGTGGACACCACCAGGGGGCACCGGGTCCCAGATCTGATCCGGGAGGGCTGAGCCCTGGTGGTCCAAGCCCCGCACCCCCACCCACCCTGTGCTGAGCTGGATTTGGAGAGATACAGGTGGGCTCCCCAGGGCAGGACTCCGCACTCTGGGACAAGGGGGGCAGCCAGGGCGAAGGTGGCCGGAGCATGGGGCAGTGTCCAGGTACCTGATGAAGTCGCTGTACTCCATCCAGAAGACACCCTCGCTGCTGCCATGGGGCATGAGCTCGCTGCGCAGGTGCCCTGGCCAGTGCGGCCACTCATCTGACCAACTGCCATTCCAGGAGAAGCGGCCCCACGGGTTCCGGAGACGCAGGAGCCTGCGGACCACAGGGCTGAGGGCCATGGCCATGCCTGCCACTGCCCCCACCACACACCCACCCGCCCCCTACCTGGAGCCCTGGACGTCTCGGACATCCAGGATAGAGTAGGCATGGCGGGGACGCAGGCCCAGGCTCTCGTAAGCAGCATCGTCCACCTTCATGTTGCCCCCCCCACAGGAGGCACCCATGAGGAACCTGTGTGGGCACAGCAGCCTCAATGACCGGGAAGGCTCCCTGACTGGGGGCCCCTCAGTAACCAGGAGCCTCTGCTGGCCCTGCCCCCCAGCGGGTTGGAGGGATGGGAGGTGGGGAATGGGGGGGGAGTGGAAGGTAGGGGACCCTTGTCTGTGGGGACCCACGTGAGACACATGGGACTCAGGAAGTGCTGGCCCAGCCCCCTCCACTGAGGTCCCGAAGCTCAGAGGCCTTGGGCCGGGTGGGGGTCAGGCACGCCCAGTCCCTTGGAACCCTCCTGAGGCTGGCTGGCCCTGCCAGCTCAGGGCTGTGGCTCTCTGAGGGTGGCGACACTGCCCAATACCAGCCGAAAGCACAAGGTCTTGCCACTAAGGAGCCATCTCTCCCAGGCTTAAGGATCTGAGCCCTTCCCACAGACACACTGGCCCGTGTGTGCCAGGTCCTGGAAGGCAAACCCCACTCCCAGCAGGTGCCTCTGTGGGGCTCTCTCCGTGCGGCTCCGAGCGGGCGCTGACGGTCATCACAGGCCCAGCTGCGGATGAGGCTCATCACAGGCTCCACCCAGGGTGGTAGGCATGGGGTGCAGGGACAGGCCAACGGGCAGCCGCCTCCTGCCTGCCCCCCCCCCACCACGCGAGCAGGCGGGACCACCGGCCCGGCAGTGAGGGATGCTGGCAACAGTGGGGACGCAGGGTGTGGGTCAGAGGGCACGCGCCCTGCTCATCCCACCGTGCCAGGCCCCCAGCCTGGCTGTGCCCTCATCTCGCCGCTCCTCCCAACGCCGCTGACCGCCACAGCGCCCGCCCCTCTTACCCAGCCTCCTTAGAACTCAGCATTTTGGCCCAGATGAGGTCAGTGTCAACGGGCTCCTCGCGGGGGTTAGTGGAGCTGACCTGCAGCGCCAGGCTCTCACAGGGGGCACCGGTGAGCGTGGCCAGGCCTTCGATGGCGCGCCCTGCCTGGAGGGCGAAGTACGAGCCGTGCAGCTTGGCCAGCGCCTTCTCGATGAGGGCCACCCACAGCTGCTTCCGCTGGGCCTACGGGGAGGGCCGGAGTCGCGAGGCCTGAGGCTGGCCGGCACCCAGGTGCCCGCCCCGCGCCCGCCCCCCCCCACCTGGGAGAAGAGGAGGAAGCCGGCCTCGTCACAGGGTAGCGTGTCGTCCACCAGCACCGTCGTCCACGTGCCGTCCTTGCAGAGCCGCACCTGGTAGGCGCCCTCGGCACACAGGCTGCGTGTCACCATCACCTGCTCCACCAGGTCGGGCCGCTCGGCCAGCACAGCCAGCGCGCTCAGGAACCTGCACGGAGCCGGGGCCATACTGTGAGCGCCGCCGCACGGCCTGCCGCACGGCCCCTCCACGGGCGCCCAGCTCACCAGCAGTTCCCCAGCAGCCCCTGCAGGATGTCTGAGGGCCGGAGAGTGCGGAACACGGACCACGGGGCACTGGGGTCCCTGGACACGGAGCAGTTGATCTCGTGGGGCCTTAGCCACTGCCGCACGCGCTGCTGGACGCTGTCACCCGCAGGGAAGCCCACCGACTCAGGCCCCGGGGGGAAGCTGTCGTCCACGAAGTTCACGCTGTTCTGCAGGGGGCCATGGCCTCACACTCAGGCTCCACCCGGCTGAGGCCAGACCCACCACCCAGGAGAACACCCGGAAAAGGCTCCACAAGAAAGAGGGTGGGGGTGGGCAGCCTCCTGGACTGGTGTGGAAGGCTTGGCCACGGCTCGTGTGAGCCACGCCACCCCATGTAGGCATGGGGGACCACGGCCAACCAGGACACCGCACGCCCCTGGGAGACACTACAGCCCCCAGCCTGGGGGCCACCGGGTTGGTAGGCATGCCGTGCAGGGAACCTGGTGGCTCCCCGTACCGTGCTGAATGCCCCCATAAGACAAGTGGGGACTTGGCTGGGATGCGGAAGCCAGGACACAAGCCCCCAAATAGCCCCTCCAACTGACTCCAGCGGTAATGCTGCCCTGGACTCAGGCCTCCCACACCTCCAAGGGCAGAAGAGCGTGAGGGACTGTCCCAATCCCGTTTCAGCAGGGTCTCCATGGCCGGAGGAAGCACTGGGCCCGCCTGCTGGCCTGAAGCCTCCACGTGCATCCCCACTTCCCTGTGGCTTCACCATCGATGGGAAATCACCCCCAAGAAGGGTCAGGAGCACAGACCATAGGGTCGTGGACCCCCGTGGGTAAAGAGGAAGAAGGGGCAAAATGCGGGGGATAGGGACCAGGCCAGTGCTCAGAGCCTGGGGAAGTGGTTCCTCCCTCTCCCTGGCCAGAGAAGGGACACCAGGGAAGGACAGAAAGTGCGAATGCCTTGACCGGGGGACAGGGGAAGCATAAAGAGAAGAGGTCCACGGGAAGGGGGAGAGCCAGCCCCGGAGCGTGGACACCGTCCTGAGGGCGCTCACCTCCCGGCAGAAGGCCACGATGTTTTCCCAGAGGGCCTTGGCCTCACCCTCGTCTGTCTGCCGCCGCTTCTCCACGTGCATGCTCTCCCTGCGCCTCAGGGGCGCAACGCCCCGGCGCTGGGCCACCAGGAGCTGGGGCGTGTGACAGGCAGCACAGTGCTTGGCCCGGGGTGCGTTGAGCAGAGTGCAGGCAGGGCAGGCCCACTGGCTTGGGCGCTCGGGCGGCACCCCGGGGAAGGGGCAGCTGGCCTTGTGGGCCAAGCAGGGGCCAGACTTATCGGCGCTGCAGTCTGGGCAGCGGGCGGGGGGCTCACCATGCTCTTGGAAGCCATGCAGCTTGGAGCAGCCACATGCCGTGCATCTGGGGGCCGCTGTGGGGTTCTTAAGCGTGCACTTGGCGCACGACCAGGTGGTGAAGTCAGGGCTGGAGGGGCTGGCTGGCTTGAAGCGCACCGTGTCCCCAGCCAGGTCGATGACATCGCTGCTCGGCGCAGCACCGCAGGCCTCACAGCGGGCAGGGCTCGAGGGGCCGGGCCCAGGGCAGGAGCAGCACCGCTGCGGTGCCGGGCTGCCCTCGGCGGCCTCCTCCTCCAGAATGCTCAGCCGCTTGCCAGACAGCAGCTCCGCCAGGCGGGAGGCCCCGGCTGCAGTCCGCCCCGGGCCCTGGGGGAGCCCCTTGGAGCCGGCAGAGGGTGAAGGCTGGGTAGCCTCAGGCACCAGTGGCTGCAGCTGGGGGGGGACCTCGCGGCGGCTACGAGGCACTGGGTTGTTCTGCAGGGTGGGCGAGAAGGGGCTGAAGGACGGCGCCCGGGGGGGCTCCTGGTCGGTGGCAGAGGGAGGGTCAGCTTCAGTGCTCTCCCCGGGCTGGGCTGGGGCAGGTATAACGTGGAAGCCAGCGGGGGCCACAACTTCGGGGACCACCAGGGCCTCAGGGGGGATTCTGGGCAGCGAGAGTTTCCGGGGGCCCCCGCAGGCTGAGCAGGAGTTGGCCACAGGTGTGTTGTGCAGCGTGCAGCGCTGGCAGGCCCAGCCACTCCCGGGCTCTGCTGCCCGCCCCTCCTCCCCCTGCTCAGGCTCCGCGTTCTCCTCGTCTGCGTCCTCTTGGGGCCGCCCCCGAGCCGGCTCTGCGGACGCCAGCCCCGCTGTCCGCACGGTACCAGCTTCCTCCTTGCAGCTGGCCCTGGGCTCCGCCAGGACCCCGTTGATGACAGGCAGCAGGGAGGCGCCAGGCACGGGCTCTGGAGCAAAGCCACACACCTCACAAGTCTCCTTGCCCAGGAAGTTCCGGAATGTGCAGCGGGCGCAGGGCCATTTCTGCTCCTCCACGCTGAGCCTGAGGATGTGGTCGAGGTCAGGCTTGTGCCGGGGGGCCTCGCAGATGGAGCACTGGCGCTGGCCGGCTGGGTTCAGGAAGGTGCAGCGCGCACAGGACCACTCCCCAACCGTGGCCATGGACCCAGGCGAGTGTGTGTGGCTGCAAGGGAAGGTCCCGATCAGTGCAGGCCTGAAGACAAGGGCCCAAGTCTCCACCTGGGACAAGGGGCCACAGGATCTTTGCCTTTCTGGACTGTGACAGACGTCAGGCCCAAGAGGGCAGTCTGTGAGAAGCTCGAGAACTCTGAGGAGTTAGGGGCCCCCAAGGGACCTCACCGGTGTGTCCTCAGACCCCTTCTGGGGGGTGGACCTGTGGGGACAGAGACATGGGGCAGAGCCACATCATCCCAGTGGCCACGGGGCCCTGCTGGGGAGGCAGTCTTTGATCAGTTCCAGGAAAGAGTACAAGTGAACTTCCTCAACAGGATAAAGGGCATCCTCAAAAACCCACAGCAAACATTACACCCCGTGGTGACACACTGCGTGCTTCCCTCCCAAGACCAGGAGCTCAGCACTGCCGGTCAGCACTGTACAGAGTCCCAGCCAGAGCAATTAGGCAGGAAAAAGGGATAAAAGGCATCCAATTGGGAAAGGAAGAAGTCAAGCTACCTCTGTTTGCAGACAGCATGATCCTACACATAGAAGTCCCAAGAAGCCACCAAAAAAAACTACTAGAGCTAATAAATGAATCAGGGGCATCTTAGGGCATGAAACCGACATACAACCATCAGCTGCATTTCTAGCAACCGACAGCCCAGAGAAGTGAAGTTAGGGGAACAGTATCACTTCATCTAAAACAATGTAATACCTACGGATACATTTTAAAAGAGGAGAACACTTGTATTCTGAACACTACAACACATGACTCAAAGAAATCACAGAAGACCTCAATGAACAGATAGACACGCTGTGCTCACAGAGTGAAGCTGTAATACTGCTGAGATGACCATGACACCCAAGTGACCTACAAATTCACAGGTGCAATGCAATCCCCATCAAAATCCCAATTTTTCCCCCCCCAGGAATGGAAAAACCTGATTCTGAAATTCATATCAAACTGCAAGGACCCTCCCCCCACCCCCAAGTAGTCAAAACAGTCTCAAAAGAGGGAAAATCAAGACAGGTGGTCCCGGCACAAGGACAGACTACAAGTCTGCCTATGGTCTGTGTGGCCAGTAGGACAGAACTGAAGAGCCTGGAAACACACCCTCACATATGGTCAAGTCATTTTATTTTTTATTTTTTTCTTTTAAGTAGGTTCCATGCCCAACATGGGGCTCGAACTCACAACCCCAAGATTAAGATTCTCATACTCTACTGACTAAGCCAGCCAGGCACCTTTGGTCAAATCATTTTAGGCAATGGGGCCAAGCCTACTCTGTGGGGAAAGGGCAGTCTCTTCAACAGATGGTGCTGGGAACGCAGGACCTAAAGCACTAAGGAATGAAGTTGGGCCCTTACCTCACACCTTGTTCAAAAATTAACTCAGAATGGATCAGTAACCTAAATGTAGAAGTGAAAACTATAAAACTCTTAGGAAAAAAACCTAAGTAAATTCTGTGACCTCAAGGGGCACCTGGCTGGGTCAGTCGGGGGAGCATGCAAGTCTTGATCTTGGGGTCGTGAGTTCGAGTCTCACTTTGGGTGTGGAAATTACTTGAAAATGAAACCTTTAAAAGAAAAATTCTGGGGTTGCCTGGGTGGCTCAGTTGGTGAAGCTTCTGCCTTCAGCTCATGTCATGGTCCCAGGGTCCTGGGATCGAGCCCCGCATCGGGCTCCCTGCTCAGCGGGGAGCCTGCTTGAGATTCTCTCCTCCCTGTGCCTCTGCCCACCTCCTGCTTGTACGTCCTCTTTCAAAATAAAATCTTAAAAAAATTTTTTTGTGACCTTGAATTTGACAATGGATTATTAGATGTGACACCAAAAGCATAGGCAAATAAAGGAAAAAAACTGGACTTCATCAAAATGAGTAACTTCTGTGCTTCAAAGGGCACAGATGAAAAAATGATAACTCATAAGAGAAAATATTTACAAATCATGTCCGATAAGGGTCTTGTATCCAGAAAATATAAAGAACTCTTACAACTGAACAACAACAAAAACCCTTGTAAAAAAATGAGCAAAGGGCTGCAGCAGTCATTTCTCCAGAGGACACGCAAGTGGCCATGGAAGCACGTGGAAAGATGCTCAGCATCACCAGCCAACAGGAAAATGCAAACCAAACTCAAGAGATACCACTTCACACCCACTAAGGCTGGCCAGAATCCAAACCGCAGAGGACAGCAGGTACCACGAGGGCGTGGAGAAACGAGAGCCCTCCCCTGCACTGCCTCAGTGCCAATGGTCTGGCAGGCCCTCAGCAAGTTAAAGAGTTACCATCTGACCCCGCAATTCCATTCCCGGGTACATACCCCAAAGAACTGAGAATTGGTACCCTAGCAAACACACACGCGCTCAGAGCAGATCTACACACAACAGTCAAGCAGTGGAAACAACTCAGACGTCCATCAGCGAATAAACAAAGGAAATGTGGAATGTTATTCAGCCACAAAAAATAATGGCATTCTGATACAGGCTACAACATGCTAAGTGAGAGAAGCCAGATGCAAAACAGGAGTCCATTTACACGAAATCTTTACGACAGGAGATCCAGAGGCAGTGGGAAGCCCAGTGGTCCCCAGGGCCTGGGAAGAGCTTCGTAAGGAACACAGGGTGATGTAGATGTCTGGGGACGGGATAGAGGTGATGGATGCACAGTGTGAATGTGTGTCAGGCCCTCTGAAATTGTTACTTTATGTCATATGAATTTCATCTCAAAAAGAAAAAAAAAAGTGAGAGCTTGAGGGGAGGGCCAGGGCATGAGTGGGTGGGGATCACCCCAACTCAGGGCTGCCAGTTGGGTCCCCTAATGCAGTTGCCTATCTGGTCTTTCTGGGGACCCCCAGGCTGGCATCTGACCACAAAAACAATCCAACGGTGCTTGAGGCCCACCCACCGGGCACATTCCTGCCGAGCCCAGGGCACAGGTGGGTCAAGGGAGGGACAGGCTGTACCGTGAGGGGCGGGCCCTCTCCACTCACCTGCCCACTGCCCACCCAGACCACTGCAGGTCCACCCTGTCTGGTCCCACAGCAACATGCAAACCTGTTCTCCCACAGCACAAGCCCGAGGTGTGCTTTGCACCTGGCAGCCCCGTGGGGCTGTAGTGGGGAGCTGCCCAGCCTAGTGAGACCACTGGGGAGGTGGGGCAGGGGGGTGTCCAAGGCCAAAGGAGGTGGCAGAAAGGGTGGGGCCCCCTCTGCTAGCAGCTGGTCCTGAGCAGCCTGTCCTGAAGTGCTGGCAACACGCAGACCTGGGGTACCCTGAGCTCCTCCTAGGATGGGTGCTGCAGGGCAACACTGGAGAGTATGCCCCACCCCGCCTGGAGCGCCTGTCCCAGGTCAGATCTGTGCCTCAGCGGATGGGCCTGCAGGGATGGCCATGGGCCCCACATGCTGGGTGAGGCCACAGAGACATGGTCCCCCCAGGTGGCCAGTGAGGTCTGTGGGGGGTGTGTGTGTGTGTACGTTGTCTAGTGCAGGTGGGTGCTCCTGACTCCTCCTGCCGGAGACGGGTCAATGTCTGGGGGTGGGGCTGGCCCCTTGACCCGCTTCTCAAAGGCTAATCTGGGCGCCAGGTGGTGTCTACACACCAGGACACACAGTCTCCTCCGCTGATTGTAGCTGCTCCGCCCCCCACAGAAATCAACTGTTCCTTACAAGGCATGAAGCCTATGCTTCTGACGCCGTATTGATACCAAACCCTTTTGGTTCAGGAAGAAAGAAAACTTGCCTCTTCAAAAAAAAAAAAAAAAATCAAAAAACCTCCCCGAGCAACAGGGTTCCCAGGGCCCAGGGCCAACTCCATGAAGCCACCTTCCCAGCCTTTGTGGCTGAGGCTCATGAGCTCCCACAGCCTTGCCCAGACGGGCCACGGGGTGAGCAGGTGTGGTTGGGCCAGGCTGGGCTCAACACGGGCACTCGGCACCGGGGAGGGGGGCAGGTCAGCTTTGGCCTCGGCTTCTGCGCTACGGAGAGCCTAAGAAATCTTCCTGGGGACCACCAGGCCCTCCCCACATCACCCCCCACTCAGAGAAGGTCCCACAGACATGGGTGCACACAAGCTGCTTCCATCCCAGTTCCAGGCTCAGGGGACGCTCGCTCACCCCGCACATCTCCCCTGGCATGGTCGCAGGGACCAGCAGAACTAGTCTGACACTTTGCAGACCATCTGCCCATGGGAGGGGTGTCCAGAGAAGAGGCCCAGGCCCCTGTGCCCCGTGCAGGAGAGCCCTCCTAGGACATCCTTGCCCTTGGCTCCAGGGCTCTGGGGGTCCCAGATGCACTGAGCAAGGATAGCCTGGGGAGGGAGGGGGCCCAACTCCTGTTTACCCTCCGAACCCGCCAGCTGGCCAGTCCACGGCCTGGGCACAGCTGAACATGAGCACAGTGTCCCTCGGTCCTGGCCAGCACCCGGGGACACTGGTGGGACAGGGCACGTGTCACAGCCCTCATGGTGGATAAAGCACATCAGAAAGATTCTGTCTGGTGTTCGGAAACCTTTAAATGGTAATAGTGCCTACAACTCAAATTTTGCCCTGGGGACACAGAGGGCAAGCAGAGGCACCCATGGCTAGAATAAGGCTTCTGGTGATGCGGCCGTGGCACAGGGGCTCCCAGGACGGGCGGTGGGGTGGTGCTGTGTTCCCTCTCCGACCCCTGCAGCCCACACCTCGCTGTCATTGGGCAGCCTGAGGAGAAGTGGCTCCAGGGTCAGTGACTGGGTGACTAGAGGAGGCTGAAACGGGCCCCTGACCTTCACCTCGCTTGGCTCACCTTCTCTGACTCCACAACCCTGGGGTCACCCCAACATGACACAGGGCCTGGGCAGGAGCCGAGGGCTCAGGAGAGACTGAGAGAGGCCAGAGCACCCAAGCAGCCCGGGCGGAAGCAACGCCGTAGGGAACCCAGAGCCAAGGCAGACTCCGAGGAAAAGCACTTCCAAACCCCACGACATCACAGACTCCAGCACACAGACTGGGTCGCAGCTTGGGAGGAACC